TCAATCCGATTTACAAGATCGCAAGAATCGTACATATCGGCCATATCGGACTTGGTACTACATCGGAAGGTAGTACAGTCGGGGCGGGGTATTTTTGACCTTTACACCGTATAGTAATATAACGATGATCGATCCTTCTAGATTTAGTATAATGGACAACGATGTAATTTTCTTGAAAGCGCGAATTTCTCCTTGACATAAGTTATACAAATACGCTGTAGCATTCAATACTCGATATCATGGAAACCAATATTTAAATCTAGAAATAACAGAAGCACAGAATAATCCAGGTGCCGCTCACTTCACCGACAGTCATTTCACCGAAAGTTCATTTAGCCGACATCACTTGGGGTTAGGTTTAGGGTTTTATTAGTTTCAGGTATATATTTTTAGTAAATTGTCACTTGGCGTGATGTCGACTAAATGAGCTGTCGATGAAATGATTGTCGGTGAAATGATACGGATCCGATATAAAACTGTTGGCTGTGTAGAAATATTATGTGGCTTTACGATTCACACAATATATTAAGTTTTATTTATTTAATTCCAAAAGCCTCGAGTTGGATTTTATTTGAGCATATATATGTTGTTATGATTTAGGAAAAAGAATTTAAATCAATAAGGTAAGAAAGGATTCTCTAAGATAATTATTTAATCTGATAAAATGGAATGCGTTTATGGAATGGTTAAAATTAGCATTTGTTATCTTCGTAAAATTGGAATTAAAAAGATAGAAAGATACGTAGACACAAAGCATTTATTTAGTGTTCAGCAAAATCAAACAAAAATTGATTGTATCGTTTGTTTTTGATGAGCACTACATTTATTTTACAATAGATGATCATCAGGCATTTAATTATATAAAACATCAAAAAAAAAAAAAAAAAAACGGTAATATAAAATATATTATATTACATAACATTAAATATAGGATTGTTTTGAATCATTTGAACTAACAAATGTTGCATCTAAATCATCATTATAATCATAATAATCTAAAAAAGCCGACCACTGTTGATAATTTACTACAATTTGAATAATCGATTAGCTTTTGAAATTATGTAAATTGTTATTAAATAAAATAAATAAAATAAAATAAAAAAAAGGAATTACCAAATATTTGTATAGTTTCTCCAAATTTTTTTTGACAAATGATGGAATTAATTATTGATAGTATAATTAAAAAAAGAGAGACTATAGTACCTATAAATATTATGTAAACCGTTATAGGAAAAATCATTAATTCATAAATGTAGACCCCAATTAATAATATATTAGCAATGTAAAATATATTCAATTGTGACCCTGTTCGAACCTATTGAATATGATGAATAATAATAAGAGTGTAATAATTAATGTTTATTTTTATATTGACATGTTTATAAAGGATAAAAATTTTATTTTATTACCCCATTAACCATCGTGAAAGCGATAATTGGCGGTAATGCCAAATACCAGGGTAATATTGTGATAACTGTCTGAAACGGATTTTTTGCGATGTAAATTGTTGAATTCTTGACCCAGAACCAATTCATAAGTGTAAAATGAAGGATTTGTAAATGAGCAAGAGCTTGTTGAAATTTGTACAACCTATAGAACTCTATAATAAAATGAAATTAATAAGTTAAGAAATATGGCAATATTGAAATGATGGTTTATTAAATTCAAAACTCACGTAGTATTTTCGATTTGCGTTTGTTGGGGACCAAATCAAAAATTTTGTCATCAAGTATGTTTTTGAATCGTCTAAAGTATTAAGAATGCAACAATGAATGTAGAATCTAAAATTAACCAATCAAAGAAATCCTCAATTATATTAGTAACGCACTTTTGACAATATACAGATATAATTGTAGCAAAAATTAAAAAAAGCAGATCCAATTTCAATGTAGATCAGAATGTCAAATGAAGTCACGTCCGCATCAGTTACTATCCTCATATAAAAATTTGTTATAACGAAGATAATTGTGTGTAAAATGTTTCTTGTAGAAATCTGTACAATGCTATTCGTTAATAGAATAAATAACTAATAGAAAATTCAATTTGAGATCCAAATAACAAACCGTGACGAATAATGAAACAAAATATTGAAGTATTGATAAAAAAATACCAATCAAAACAATAAAGGAAGTGGAATTCAGGGAGACGACTTGAATAACCGAATATACATAAGAAAACAAATAATAGCATGTTTCAATACAGTGTATAAGCAATGATATGATAAATAATTTTTCTGTAATATAAAGCGAAGAAAACATTTAAACTTTTTTGTAAGTAATGAAAACTCTAAAAGATGGCATTAAAAAATTTTTTTAAGGTTATTTTATAAACACAAACTATTATTTCTAGAAGTTCAATGTAGAGGTTGGATTCATTAGGCCAACTACCCGAGTATTGATTCTAACTGGCGGATGAGACTTTTCGGGTATCCGGATAGTGATTTATACAATTCGGATACTATCCGTATAATAACTAGCCACGTACTGTGTACTGCATGTACTGTACGCTAAAATTCTGACAGGGCGATCATGCCAGCCGGTTAAAAAATAAAATAAAATAAAATAAAATAAATTCTGACAGGTTACAATGTTTGTGCAAATTAGTAATTAAAGTAGTGCGACAGCATTAAGAGCAGAAATTTTAACATCGGTAATTTCGAAAAGTTCTGATGTAGAATGTGTATCCAAGAAATTCCCCAAAACATGTACACACAAAAGCAAAAGCAAAAACAAAATAGAATGAAAAAAATATGG